CCAGAGTTCCCAATCTAAATGTATCCCTTCTGCTCAATGAATCCTTTCTGACTTGCCGAGCCACAAAGAATGTTATCCTTAATTGTTACTGAGTTCAGTAGAAACCAGAAAGGAAAATAGGACAGCACAGGATGACAGGGTTTACACACACCAACCCCCCCCCCTCCCCCTTCTGACCCTGAGCCTTGAGAGCATCTGCTTGGGTCCTTTGCATAAAGCTGCTTGGGGAGGGTGAGGCTGAAGAGTTCTATGGGTCTGCCATCCCAGGACTGGCGAGAGCCAGGAGGAGCCAGGAACTGTTTTAACAAGAGATAGGAACTCTAAGTTATAAAGGAGAGAAGAAGGAAGGGTAAGTGACAGGTAAGTTGCAGAAAGAAGAGAGAAGCACTAACTTTGTTGTGGGGAGGTGTGGAAGGTAGGGGTGCCCTATCTCTCCATTTCTGCTAACTAGTCCTTACTGTTGGGGCAGGTGGTACAGGAGTAACGACAGAACCAGTCTGGTTCTTCAGCGATCTAATATTTGGGGGTACAAAAATGATTAGGTCTAGTCTGATGTATCAGTTTCTTCCTATTGCCTCTTGTTCTTAAATTGAAGGCACAGAAGAAATTTTCTTAAAAGGCTTTACCCCCTAAAGACTTCACTTGTAGACCTTTAGCTTTCACCACACTGACTCTTAACGCATTTGTTCCTCTTGGGAAGTTTACTGAATAATTAACTTCTTATTCAGCATGCCTCATATCAGTCATCATTTTCCCCCAAAACCAGTTCCTTTTCTAACATCCCTGTTTGTGTTAATGGTGTCATTATTCGAGTCAGACAGTCTACAAGCTCAGCTGATCTGGGATTATTTCCCCTCTCACCTCCTTAAGTGGAGCCAGTACCAAGTTACTGTAAATCCTGCATGGAGTCTCTCGCATCGGTATTTCTCGTGCATCCTTACTGCTACCATCCTAGTTCACACGTTTTAGCCTCATACCTATGCTGTTAAAGTTTTCTCCTGCCTACTTTTCCTGTTTCCAGTTTCCCATACATCAAATCAGCTCTGTCCTTCAAGCCTTAACCTTCCTAAAACTATGCTTTCACTATGATACTCACCTGGTTAAAAATGTTTACTGGCTTCTCATTTGCTAAAAGAGAAAGTCCAGTCTTGTTGGCTGTAATTCAAGGTACTATGCTGTACATTTCTTTTCCAACTAGCATTTTTTTAATACCCCTGAGAACCACACTGCTAGGTGCTAAGTTTCATCAAGTTGATTAGGACAGAGGATTTGTCTAAGAGAGCAAAGTCTTAAGAAGACAGATATATAAACAGAACAGTTGAATGTGATAACTGCTCCTGGTCTATGGATATAGATACATATGTACTATGCATTTAATATAATGTAAAAAATAGCTGTGATATGTTTAGAAAATCAATTTCTCAGTCATTAAGTTAAAATTGTGACTTGGTTAGGGGAGCCTGGTTCAGTCAGTTAGGTGTTGTCTGACTCTTGATTTCAGCTCAGGTCATGGTCTCATGTTTCATGAGTTTGAGCCCCACATCAGCTTGGGATTCTCTCTCTCCCTCTCTTTTTGCTCCTCCCTGCTTGCTCTCTCTGTCTCAAAAATAAATAAATAAATAAACTTTTAAAAATGTGTTGTGACTTAATTAAAAGCTATACAGATTCTGTGGAAGCAAAGATACGGTTTTCACCTGTGTCTGGAAGTCACAAAAAGCTAGTGTAGGCAGAAGAATGTCCTTTTCTTTGCCCAAGTATGGAGATAACCATTGGCCTGAACCGTGTCTCTCCCAGACTTTCCCAGAAACTGGCCAGGCCATCTCCTTCCTGGAGCAAATCAACCTGCCAAGTCAGGAGTAAACTTGTTTTTGATTTCTAAATTAGACAACACGAATGATAGAAACTGGCAACTCATCGCAAAAGGAAAACTTCATTATCCTTGCTGATGAAACCAAATATGTACTCCAGGGATGAGAACTGACCAGTCACTCATTTTAACTGTTCAGTATCCTGTTAGAGTCGGTGGTGTCATCCCATTTTATAGATGAAGAACAAATTCAAAGGTTAAGTGGATCGAGGTACTATGAAGTAGCAGAGCCAGGATGCAAACCTGGGCGTGTCATATTCCAAAGCGCATGCAGCTTTTCACTGACATGCTGCCTCTTAGGAGAATTACTGTCCCTGAAGAACTTTGGAGCAAAGAACAATTGCTCGGTCTGTTGTTGGTAATTTTCAGCTGATACCAAATTGTTAAATTTTTTAAACCCCCCCCCAAAACAAAACAAAAAACAAGCAAACAAAAAAATAAAATCAATGATCTCTGATTTAGAAGACACTTTAAGGGGTGCCTGGGTAGCTCAGTCAGTTGAGTGGTCAACCTCAATTCAGGTCATGATCTCAGGGGTTCATGGGTTCAGGCCCCACTCTGGGCTTTGCGCTGACAGTGCAGAGCCTGCTTTGGGTTCTCTGCCTCCCTCTCTGCCCCCTCCCCTCTCTCTCTCTCTCTCTCAAAAATAAACATTAAAAAAATTTGGAAATCAGAATTTAAAAAGTAAAAAAACCACCATCAGTTATAATATTCATTGTGGGATTTTTTGCAGTTCCCAGAGAGGCGGGTTATGGGCATGGCTACAACACAAATCCCTTAACTGTTTTCTGGTTCATCCTCCATACTATACATTCTGTTTCTTTCCAGTTTGGAATCCTGATGGAGTCCATGACTTCCTTCTACATTGACATATGAAGGGTTTTTGCATTTCAGGCTGCTCCTGGAATTGTGGCCCATGAATCATTTTACTGGAAAGAAAATCAATCTATATGTTATTTTTCCTTCATTGTGGTATTTTACGACTCACGGTGGCATTATTTCAGAAAAACAAAAATTTAGGGGAATGATGGACATAGATAATACAGACAGATACACATACATATGTCAATGAAATCATGTTATAATTTCATTTTAACTAAAGAAAGCCAAGTGACATATACTTACAAATATACAAATATACTTCATGCTTCTGGTATTTTTCTAATGTTAAATGACATACTTTTTAATGCAAAATATTAACATAAAATCTATTATTCATTTTCATTAACATACATTCCAGTAGCTTAACTAATGTAGTTCTTCTGGTTCGGTCTTGTCTCAGACGAGAGTACTTGAAAGGGTGTAAACAGATAGCCAGGTAGACAGACTTGTTTTTAATAGCCTTGTGCTAAACGTCCTCGTTTTGGGGAAGAGATGTTTGAATGTTTGTTTATGGGCATGAGCCACATCCTTCTTTTCCTCAATATACATATAAATCTTGTTGGCAAGAAATAAGAGAGACAGTGAGAGAAATAGACATGTACACATAGTGAGATAAAGAGACAGACATTCACACACAGAGAGATACAACTAGAGATGCCTAAGTCTTAGAGCTAAACAAAACAAAAACCTGATATCATCATGGTGTCCCAGAAAGTGGATTAGACTGGACCTTAAAAAGACATAAGTGTTAGACCTACTTTTACTGTGTAACTATAATCTTCAGTAAGTCACTTAACAACCCTGGCCTCAGTTTTCATCTGTAAAATGGAGAATGCTGAATTAGATTATTTCTCAGGTCCCTTCCAGCTTTGTGAATCTCATTTTGGCTGAGGTTTTTCTACCACACAATTCCTAAAGCTGATAAAATGAGATCAGATGTGAATGATGGTTACCAAGTAGCAGTAGTTACTAAGGAAGGCCCTGGAATCCAATTACCTTGGGTTCAAGTCCGATTTCTGCCACATACTAGATCTGAGACTTTGAGCAAGTTATTTAGCCTCTGTGCCTCACTTTTCCAATCTATAAAATGGGGGGGGGGGTGTTGACGATGGTTATAGCATCTATCATCCAAGCTTGTTGTGAGGATTGAATTAATTTGCGTCAAGTACTTGCAACACTGCCTGGAACACATTAATGTTTATCTTTTCTGTTTTGTTTTTATTTAGCTCAATAAATGTTTGTCTTTTTTGTTATTACTATTCCTGCTTGAATTCTTCTTAGAAAACTATGCTATAAAACTCTGAGGTGGTGGTGATCAACATCAATAGGCTCAATTATATCATTCATTTCTGTACCAAGCATAAATCCAGAAAATCTGGTATCCTAGAATCTGCTTTGAATAGAATGTGTTTGAATAGAGAACTGAAAGTATATTTAAATGTTGACCCAGAACTGGTTTCTTGAGGCCTGCTTCAAAGTCTATATTGACAGTATTGGATACACAAGCATCTTGATCCCTTAGCACTGTTGCAGTTTCTAAGTGCGTTATTCATATTACATTTCAGGATCCTGAAATTTGTATTTTCCGAAACTGTTTCAAAACCATCCTGTTTTATAGAACACTGTCTATAGTGTGGCTGGAAAAAGCAAATTGATAGCAATAGGACAAACAAAAGGCATTCTGAGCAATATGTTCCAGCACTCTCCCGGTAAGGGGAAGTCTTAGATCTAGCCGTTCCAATAGCGTTTAAAAGTGCATGTTGCAGTAGTTTGCTCTGGCCACCATAGCAAGGTCCCACAGAGCAGCTGGCTTAAACAATAGAAATTTATTGTCTCACATTCCCGGAGGCTAGAAGTCAGAAATCAATGTGTCAGCAGGATTGGTTTCTTCTGAGGCCTCTGTCTTTGACTCGGAGATGGCCATCTTCCACCTGCATCTTCACGTGGTCTTTCCCTGTCCCATGTTTGTGTCCAAATTTCCTCCTCTTATAAAGACACAGCCCTATTAGATTATGGTCCACCCTAATAACTTCATTTAAACTTAATTACCTCTTTAAGGACCCTATCTCCAAATGCATCACATTCGGAGGTGCCTGGAGATCAGGACTTCAATATATGAATGAGGGCAGGCACCCAATTTAGTCCAAACATTTAAATTGTAACACATAGACACGTAAGGATCCAAATAGGCCGGAATATCGTTTATCTTCAACTGAAAGATTGATTTGACATATGTAGTAAAGCTTATATTGCTTAGTGCTGTAGAATTCAATAAAATGAGATTTGTTTTTATGCCTTGGTTTTAGAATCTTTGTAAATAATAATAGCAAAAACAGCTCTCTTAGGTAAATGTACAAAAGATATGCTTTCTAGGTCAGAAAATTATCTTCTAATAGTATTTTGACATGTTTTTCTCCCCTAGCCTAATCCTAAAATGCCAAAAGTGGAATGAGAGGTATCACACTCTTATCCCCAGATGCATAAATAACACTTCTGGAAAACCAGAAGCGCCAGAGGCTGGAGAAACCTCAATCTTTTTGAGATAGTCAAGGTAATATGTCAACGCCTTCCACCCCCAGATAATAGGATGCTTTGGATACATTTTTAAAAATAGCAGTGCATTTTTGTCCATATTTAGATTGAATGTTTATAAATAGGACATGTTCATTTGATTTTTTAAATTCCATATATTCTGGGTTTTTAAGGAAGTACATTATCTAGTGGAAAGCTGTCAAAAAAACACCCATTTTGTGTGGCAGTGTTGACTCTGAATTTTAAGAATTAATTGGCCTCCTTGGCCTAGCTGATATGTATGTGAAAATCCTTACATAATTGAAGCAAATTTGCTTTATATCTTTGCTCATATCTTATTGCTAATACTAAAAACTTACTAAATGGCTTGAATCCCAGTCAGTTGTAGCCCAAGTATGAATTTCTTCAATTTGACATCTGAGTATAAAATAAAGAAGTGATTTTTATCCAGTGTTGCAAGCATGGTTTTCTGGGTAAAACAACTGATTTGTTTTTTATACCAGACAAGTTGACTTAAGGAAAAAAAAAAAGAAAACAGATCTGTGTAGATTTTTTTAGGTGTTTCTATATCCAGAAATATCTAAGACTCATCCAAAAATGTTGTTTTCCCTCTTTTATGCCCCATATCATTCACCATTTAGAAATCAAGCCTTCGGTTCCACATAAAGACATACACACGCCCTGATACTAGATAGACAAACATCCCTCTTGTGTTCCACTCCACCCTGCCCTACTGCTTACACAGCTATAGAGATTGTTTGGGGTGTTTCTTTTTCTGCCAACCAATCTCTGTGGTGAAGAGGCAACAATGCCTGCTCTCCTGGAGGATTCATTCAGAGTTCCAGAGCAAAAGCTGGGACCTCCTCAAGAAGGAGAAGGAACAACCAGAACTAGAATGAATGGAGCTTGGGCATTATCCAGGGAAGGGAAAAGGTCAGAATAAAATGAACAGAGCCCAAGCCACGGCAATGCACCTTCAGGGCAAAATCGGCAGTGCCATTTAGGAAGTTCAGTGGTGGATGAGGGTGCCCTTCTTGAGAGCCACAGCCCTTGTGACTGTTGGCACATAAAAGTTTGTGGAGAAGACTCCTGCACTCCTGTTGGCCCTCACTTGATGGAAAGTAGCATGTGAACAGACCGAATGGTCCTCTGGGCAAAACTGATGTTTGAAATCACTTATTGATAACCCTAAAAATAAGTTTCGTACCTATCCCATAAATAGGCTTATTTTTCCAGGGTCTTAAAATATGTATCATTTATCTTTTTTTCTTATATATATATTTATATTTTTAAATTTATTTTATTTTATTATTATTTTAAGTAGGCCCCACACCCAACGTGGGGCTTGAACCCACAACCTTGAGATCAAGAGTCACATGCTGTATCAACTGAGCCAGCCAGTTGCCCCTGTATTTATTTTTTAACTGAGAAAACTATAAAGCTTAATATAATAGCTACAGCTAGTATGCTGTACCACAGCATATGATAATGTATCCAGACAACTTGTCCACCATTGGTTTTTATTTCAAGTTTATAGACTGTAGTGTTCCTTAGACAAACATATCTGCCACTAAACTCTAAGGAAAGTTGCATCTTGGAGAGATTCAAATGGAAGGAATGAGCTGAGCATCTGGTTGAAATGATCTTGTCTTTCAAAGTCACTTAATGGATGATGACAGTGACAAGTAACAGCTCATTTAGAAAACAAGTAGAGAGCATGTCTGTAGACTACAATATGGCATGCCAAAAATCTGGCAATCAGATTTCTGATGATTAGTTTGGAGCTAGCAGCAGCCTTTTTCTGAAAGTCTTGGGCCACGTAATTTATATATTAGGCAGAAACTGGAGTTTCATTTAAGACTGAGTGCCGTAAAGTTCAAGACAAAAATTATGGTTTATCAAATAAAATTTAAAGCCTATCATTTTTTTTTAAAAGCTTGCTGGGTCTGATATACTATTAGGAAAACATACACCAAAAGTTTGCATATAATTCAACACCTAATGTTTGAAAAAAGAAACAAAAAGTAGGAGCTGGGATGAGTCATTAGCCTTACAGACAAAGTCCAGGTGGTGACAGGTTGATTTGTTTGTGCACTGATTAGCAGGAGGTGAGGGGATAAGCGTGAACCTTACACAAATTTAGCAGTTTGAAAAGTTCGGTTGTAATTATGTTATTTTTCTCTGAGCATATTGTGCATAAATCATGGCGATTTAAGCAAATAGGCTTTTGTCAATTCAGGGAGACTGTCTTTTCTCTTCTAGGACATTCATAAGTTAGTCCTTGAAACAGCAGTGGACATTTTAAAGTAAAAAAGATTTTGAGGGTGCCTAGGTGGCTCAGTTGGTTAAGTGTCTGACTCTTGATTTGGGCTCAGGTCATGAGGTCATGAGATTGAGTTCCCCCTCCCTGCGTCAGCAAAGAGCCCTCTTCGGATTCTCTCCCTCATTCTCTGCATCTCCCCCACTCGCGTGCACTCTCTCTCAAAATAAATAAACATTAAAAAAAAGATTTTGAAAGCCCTCACCTTCCCTAATGATAATTGCAAAAGGGAAGTGAGATTCATGGTATGTTTCCTATATTACTCAGCCTCAACTTGAAGAAGTGGCTATTTTCTTCTTTCTGTGTCAACCTACACCTGTCAGGCCTTACCAGCTGCAGTGACAGTTGACATTCATGGGATTTATCAAATCGTTTATAGTATGGTCACATAGACAATAAATTTCTTATTGTTTTGCAGCATTGGACACTTTTCCACCATGCTGATGACATTTTGAGTATATTTGTCAATTTTCCCAAATTTTAACTGAAGAAAACCTTGAGAATTTATACTTGAGGACTAAAGTGTGACCACCGATTATCAGGTCAGTATCACCCCCCCCCACCCCCACTTCCATCCCCACTCCCAGGAATATCACCGTCATCCTGCAACAGTACGGTTTTACTATCTTTCATACATTAAATTTATCATGATGTCTTGTGTATTGAGATTAGATTCAAATAATAAAGAACAGCAAAGAACTGTTGAATTTTAATATTGATAAAGAAAGGTTATGGGAACATGTACAAACAGACCTATTGCTTTTCAGTCACATAGCTGTGGCCCTTTTCTTCCTCCTGTGTCAGATTTGCATTGTCTTCACTTCATGTAGACACTAAGCTGGGTGAATGGGCACATATTGGCAGGATGTGCCAGATATTGAAATTTGTGTGCAGAAGTGATTTATAAATGTAGATAACAAGAATATTATTCTTTATACCATGGACAAAGAATGGAATTTTTTTCTTGTCAGGGCTGGACTCCTTTATAATTAAAGTGGCTCTAAAGAGTGTTTCAATTTTACTCCTTTATGAGGATGTGTATTTATTACAGCAGATCCAAGACTTTGATTTAGGTACAGTCGGTTTTAGTTCTTTGTATATTCACTTTAGTCTTAGTTCATTGGATTCTCTAACAATTCTTGATTTTTACCCATGAAAGCTTAAATGGAACCAAGAAGGACTTCAGAGATTATCTAGGCTGATTTTACCTGTGAGGAGACTGCGTGCCAGTCTAACTGGGTACTTTTTGTCCTCAAAGCCACAGAGTTGCTTAGTAGCAGAGCTCAGACTAAAATTCTATACTCCTCACCCCGCCCCCCCGTCTGTCATGCTTTACTCACATCACATTGCTTCCTTAAGCCCCAGTTTTAGATCTCTAAATAAGAGTATTTAAGGACTACAAAAATACTGAAGGAAAAAAGAATATGTCTGAACACCATCATCTTTACTTTGGTGCTTCTCCATCCAGTTGATTTACTCAGTGTAGTTGGTATTTACAGAGTACCTTCACAGATGCCCATTATTCTGCTGAACATCATGGGAGGGAAGAGGATGGGCTTAAAATGATGAGATTTTCCCTTTGCTTTATAATTTCTGAGATATTAAAATATGAAACCTTCAGGAAGAGGGGGAAGGGTTTTATCTAAGAAACCAGTGTGACTCAACTGATTTTTGAGTTCGAGCCCCGCGTCGGGCTCTGTGCTGACAACTCAGCCTGGATCCTGCTTTGGATTCTCTGTCTCCTTCTCTCTCTGCTCCTCCCCCACTTACGCTCTGTCTCTCTCTTATCTCTCAAAAATAAATAAACGTAAAAAAAAAAAAAAGAAAAGAAAAAGAAATCCCACAACTAGAAGATGCAGACTTGAAGATGCAGACCTGACATCCCATCTGTCTGCAAAGCTGCATGCTCTTTCCAACATATCTTTTTTTTTAATTTTTTTTTAATGTTTATTTATTTTTGAGAGAGACAGAGACAGAGTGTGAGCCGGGGAGGGGCAGAGAGAAAGGGAGACAGAATCCAGAGCAGGCTCTGGGCTCTGAGCAAGCTGTCAGCACAGAGCCTGACGTGAGGCTCGAACACACAAACCATGAGATCATGACCTGAGCCAAAGTCGGACACTTAAACAACTGAGCCACCCAGGCGCCCCTCTTTCCGACATAGCTTAAATTAAGTGTAGCTTTATTAGGTGTGGGGTTTTGTTTTTGTTTTTATTTATTTGTAAAATACCTGTTGTGAGATGTCTTCTGTAATGCTGAAGTGAGGATCACTCACTAGTTGCTAAAACTCAGTAGTTAGAAAGTCAGCAGAGCGGAAGTTTGATTGAACATATTTTGCCGTGTGGCAAAAGATTTGTACAGCATGTCCTGGAACATAATCTGACAACACAGTGAAGTGTGCCTTTCCTACATGCTTTCCTGCACTTAGAGGCAGTAGGTCTGGAAGGAATCAATGACTCTTTTGTGTGCCTCCTAAAATTTAATGTGCTCATAAGAGTTGGGAATTACGGGAGGGTGTGTGAACTTGTCATGTTGCAATTCCCTTTAAAGAAAACTATATGGAAGTGACAATTTGCAAGTACAATACAGAAGAAGGAAAGGAGTATTTACTCAGCTTTGGAAGTTCAAAAATGTATCTCACTGTGCACCCTGTCAGAAGACCCTTTGAAAATTGTCTGGCAGTCTAACTTCTGTCTATATGTGGCTTTTGAGAAATTAATCTTGTGGAAAAGATTGAGTTTGTGCTATGCGGTTTGCCATTTAACATGTCTCAAAAGATGCAGAACTTCACAGAAACGGGAACTTGGGGAGTCAGATAAATTCAGTTAGTAGTAGCCTGTCCAATGAAGATGTTTAAACGACAATATATTTTGAGAAACTACGTAAAAGTGTATTTGTATACGGTTGCACTGAGGTTCCCTGTGAAAGTAAACAGACAGTTTAAAAGAAAAATTTCTCCCATACTGCCACCGGACATTCTCTTCGCTTAAATTTCATTTCAACCAACTTCAGAGGGATGCCAGAATGTTTTATATACAGTTTAGGAATTCGGTTATCTAAAACTGAGAAATATTTTCATGCTCTAACAATTTTTCGGTGAAATAGTATTCACTGTAACACAATTTTACCTGCACTTCTGGTGAACAAAACTAGTGACTAATTCTTTCTGAGACCTCCCAGGATGTTTGTAAATATGCCTGGAGGAAAAATGATGGAAAATTGATCCTTGTGAGTGATGACGAAATTCATACTTAAGGTGAATTTTATTTTCTCTTACTGCTCAGTTTATGATTAACATCAGAAAGCTCCCATTTTTTTTTAAACTTAATTCTAACCATTTGCTGCCTTAAGGCATTTTATGCTGTGATTGTGGCTCTTTCCTTGTGTGACTCACTTGATTTTTTTTCCTTAGCCGTATCAAACCAACTCTGTCTTCTGGAGATTGTCTGATCATTGTCTTTGTTTTAGGCTTTCAGGATGAATCTGGAAAAACTCAGCAAGCCTGAACTCCTAACACTATTCAGTATTCTTGAAGGAGAGCTTGAAGCAAGGGACCTTGTGATAGAGGCTTTAAAGGTATGTTAAAAGAAAAAAAGAGGTCATCGTATGTTTTGAAAGTCATTGCATTGGTTGTAATTTCTTTAACCAAGGTATTTCTATAGCCCCTGTTGAAGTTAGAGGCCTGGATATACATACTGATACTTGCTCCCGCAGCTACCTTGCATGGTATGATTTTAGGGACACTGGTAAGGCCTTTCTGACTCCAAAATATTTCCTTTAGTCTGCATCTTGAACGTCATTTTTTTAGCTTAGAGGCCTTACCCATTTTTGAATGCCAATTGCTTCAGAACCTGATGAAACCTGCTTCCTAAAAACATATATATACAGCCATATACCAAAATTCAGTGTATAATATCTGGGAGATAAAGGACTCCATGAAGACCATCTCTGGATTTTCTAGACCCCTGTTGAAGGATTCGTTTGTTTTAGTGTGTGATATCTGCTAAGACACAAGGGAGGGAAGTGGGTGTGTGTTATATGGAAACTCTACTTTCCACTCAATTTTTCTGTAAGCCTAAAACTGCTCTAAAAAACAAAGTCTAATTGAAAAAATACACGGGAGTATAACTCAGGTATTGTGAATCCCTTACACCTCTGTAAGAATGTTTCCCAATCTGTCCTGAGATCAGACTCGGAGAGGCGAAGAAAAGACAGTAAGAGTATCTGAGCAGCAGGAAGAGGAGAAGGAGGACAAGTGACCATAGGAGAGAGACTTGAGCATGCTGGAGAGAGCAGAGCCCCTGCAAAATGCACCCGGTCTAAGGATCTAACAAGATTTTTGTAGTTTCCAGTTGTAGTTAGAGCTTGTATCAATATACATCTGGTTTTGTTTTGTTTTGTTTTTTCTTCTCAAGTTAGTTAACATACAGTGTAGTCCTGGCTTCAGGAGTAGAGCCCAGTGATTCATCACTTACATATGATACCCAGTGCTCATCCCAGCAAGTGCCCTCCTTCATGCCCATCACCCATTTGCCCCACCCCCACCAACCCTCAGTTTGTTCTCTGTTATCAGTGTACATTTTGAAGCTCACTGGTAAAAGGTTTATGAAGTACTTTGTTGTTTTCCCTTTTCAAAATTATCCTAGCTCCTTCTTAAATATTGCATTAATATTTCATATGTGTTCATATCACCCTCCATTGTTGAAGACATTTTTTATAGCAACAAAGATAATTTTCTCATTGCCATTCCAGGAGGCTCAGAGAATCGGTGATTTCCTGAGTAGCTAACAATAACCACTCAGTCGAGTTCATACAAAAAGCTATAGCTTTTCTCTTCTCTAGCTTGCCTTTTCCTTTCCTGCAGTGATAGAAGAGTAAATGTGTTCACTTAGTCAAACCTGGGTAGTCTTTTCTTGGATTATTCTGAAATTATAATTGTGATAAAAATAAAATCTAAACCTGTTATTTCTGTATGCTATTAAATTTAAAGTGACGTGCTAGTTTGTCTTTCAAGGCTGACCGAAAAAGACTGACATTTCTGTCTAATAAATATGCCTTAGGGTAGTTTATCACTGAAAACTATTGGATTTTTGTTTGTTGGCTTTCCCTTGTGGCTTTGTAACGTGTGATAAGTAATTTCCAGTGGTTTCCCTCTCCAGAGTGCATGAGGTGATTCCCTTCTGATGTGGGGGGATGGAGTTGGTCATATTCTCTTCCTTTCCCTGCTTACTTCAGTCTTGGTTTGCATGGCTTCCCAGGGGATCACGTTTATAGCTTCGACACGTGCCAAGGCACATATGTTAAAGGTCATTGCCTGAGGGGCGCCTGGGTGGCGCAGTCGGTTAAGCGTCCGACTTCAGCCAGGTCACGAGATCTCGCGGTCCGTGAGTTCGAGCCCCGCGTCGGGCTCTGGGCTGATGGCTCAGAGCCTGGAGCCTGTTTCCGATTCTGTGTCTCCCTCTCTCTCTGCCCCTCCCCCGTTCATGCTCTGTCTCTCTCTGTCCCAAAAATAAATAAACGTTGAAAAAAAAAATTAAAAAAAAAAAATAATAATAAAGGTCATTGCCTGAGTCTTTGCCTTCCATACCAGTAATTAGAACTATGACTTTGGTCAAGTCATTTAGTCTTTCTGGAGCAAAGCTTCCTTCCCTGAGATAAGAATAAATGATTAATAACTAGTATTGGTGTGTAACACTGCAAGTATTTGCCCGGCATTGCAAATACTCCCAACAGTGTAGGATTCATTTTTTTTTCCCTTTATGTATATTCTTTCAGTGCATATTGTATATGCCATATCCAAGGAACGGTCATTGGTTGCTAATAATATGAATGGATGCCTCTAGTTTGCCCTCAACAGTGCCTAGTTTTTTAAGGACTCCCCTGTCAGCACATATTGCATATAAATGTTCACTCTGGCTGGTGATTCATTTTTGCCACCTTCACAGGCCTTCCCTTTTGTCACTATTGGTGAATTTTCTTTCTTTCCCTGTATATCGCTGGAAACTATTCTATTTTTCATAACCCTATCCCATTGTTACCAGTAGTCCTAACCTGGTTAAACCCAGGACACCCTCCCATTTTTTATCCCGGGTTTATCTGCTCAATGAAGAGAAGAGAAAAAAGAATTGGGGAAAATTTGAGCTCATTCCTCAATCCTCACTCCTATTGCCTGTTGTTTTCCCACTTCTTTCTCTTGGTTCTCATCTGTGACCCTGGCTCTCGTGTGGATAGGCGTCATCAGCTTAGAACCCGAAGAGTTCACTGCCTGGGCTGCACCAGGAAGCTCTTGGTTCATGGTGATGGCTCCTTTTAAAACCCAGAAAGCATTTTCTAGGAGCCATTATAAATAGCAATCAGATTTTAGAAAACTACAATAGTTTGGTAATGTGTTAAACAGACTCACCTGAGAATCTACCGCTATGGGCAGGAGGACTCCAGGAAGCGGTTCCCCCTACAGATTACAGTTGACTTTTACAGAAACTTGTGGACTTCAACCCTTCCACAACTGAGGTAGGGGTGGGGGGCTGGCTGCCTCTAATGGAAAAATCAGGCTGACCTTACCTTCTCTTTGCTTTTCAGCCTCAGAAACCACACAAACCTGTAGAGCTTTTGTGTGCCCATTTTGCTAATCATTATACCCTCAGCACCCAGCTTAGTGCCTAACATATAGACACTCAATAAATATTTGTTGAATAGAGGAAATGACGGTGCCATTGTGATTTGTTGCTTTAAAAGATTGCCGTAAGGGGCTCCTGGGTGGCTCAGTCAGTTAAGTGTCCAACTCTCCATTTCAGCTCAGGTCATGATATCAGGGTTTACTGAGTTCGAGCCCCACATCAGGCTCTGTGCTGACAGTGCAGAGCCTGCTTGGGATTCCACCCCACCCCCACCCCCCTCCCCCTCCCCCACCCACACTATCTCTCTCAAAATAAATAAATAAACTTAAAAAAGTATAAATAAATAAATAAAAGATTGCCATAACATTTTAAAGTGGATGTTGTGAATTACTAAATTTTACAGCTTATTCTCATGTGGCCGCAACACACTGCCTTCTGGTTTTAACGTCAACAGATGTGTCAGTCCTTGTTGCACATGTTTTCCTAAAATATATTTTTTCTGCATAGATCCAATGTTAGTGACTTTAGGCAGCTTCTGACAAGTTGAAAGAGCAGCTTGAGAAGGAAGAGCTATAATTAAGGGAACTTTTGGATATAAGATACCATTCAGAATCAGGCACAAGTGTTGTGTTTAGTCTGCATACGGCTCGGAGGTGATAAAGTTATCTTCTGAAGCTTGAGCTATATGCAGTTTAAGTTGAAATGAATAGCTTGGCCAGAAGTGATATGTCTTGAAGCAGTCTATTGTTAGATAAAGTAAGTAGCAGCTGGGGTCAAAACTGTTTCAGGCCTTCAAGAAAAGCAACTGCCATACAAGATTCTTAAAGTTCAAATGAACTCTCTTTTTATTTGTAGAGTAGCTTTTTGTTTTTTATTTTTATTTATTTGTTTGGGTTCTGTAACCTATAAAGATTTTACTGTTATAATTTCTATAATTCTTGTTTGACAACTTGTTGGACTTCTTGGACTAATAAGGCAGCTTACTAATTTTCTTCCTTTATTATTCTTTAGTAATTCATGCTTAGTGGGTTGAAAAGATTTTGAAATAGTTATGATGGGTTTTTTTTCTTTCTGTTTAAGTAAAAGAGCTTACCTTTGTCTTTCCCTCTTTACCTTCAAAATAGATTTTTTTTCCTGGACATAAAATCTGTTCTTCAACCTTGCATCTCTGAATAAAACCATATGGTTCACTGTTGCTGCTAAATAAATAGTAGCTCACATTGGCAAGGGTTGCATTTATATAGGGTTATAGGGTTATATTTATTATAAAGTTCCCAGATCCTACATACAGAGTTATAATTATAAAAGAGCTTCATTCATTTTCCAGAATCTCTGCTAAAGTGCCAGATTGCAACTACACCCTTCTAGAGCCCCCACTGTGGTTATGTTCTTTTTCCCCCCAAGATATAAAAGCCTCCTCACTCTTCTGTTGCAGCCAAGACATGTTTGGCATGGAACCAGGAAAGTCAGTAGAAAATAGTGTCATATTCAGCTCTTCTGTATTTCAAGTCTAATTGTTACAGAGGCCATTTATACTGTATTTGGTCCTAATTGAACTTTTATATAAAGTGATTTTCTGTTTTACAAGGGATTATGTCAGAGAAAAACATTCTTTATGAAAGTCTTTCTCTTTGACCAGTTTGTCTTCATGAATAAGAACACTATAGGAGTCCCTTCCACATCAAAAGCAAATTACATTGCTCATGAACCAACTGTCTAGGGGAAGCTGGGGTGGAATCACACAATTGAGCAAGAGAGCCTCAGCTCATTAATTCCAAGCAGATCTGGGAGATGGCTTCCCAGCAAGGACTGACTACTCCAGAAGAAGACAGAGGACATCATGGCCATTTAAAAATTTTGGAAAATAAGGGCACTTGGGTGGCTCAGTTGGACATCCAAGCCCCATGTCAGGCTCTGTGCTGAGTGTGGAGTCTGCTTGGGATTCTCTCTCCCCCTTTC